CTCACATGTGAGCTTCTGGGGGACTCCTCACATCCAAACCATAACAACAGCCATCTTGGCCAGGCAGTTGGCCTTTGTCTGGAACAGTGTTATCCTATTTGAAGATGAAACCCTATCTCTCTCAAACGTAAAGGTGTCTATTCTCCATTAAGGGGGGCTTTCGTTACTAGCTTTTTGGTGAGTTTTCCGTTTACAAAACAGAAGTTAAGGTTATTCTTGACCTTGTATTCTTCTAACCAATAAAGAGAAGTTACATCATATATATATATATATATATATATATATATATATATATATATACACACACACACACACACACACACACACACACACTCCATACTGTTACTAACAATGTATTCTGGATTGGATACTGTCTTACTTTGGGCTGTTGTAACAAAAAATACCAGAGACTAGGTAGCTTAAACAACAGAAATTTATTTCTCACAGTTCTGGAGGCTCTGAAGTCCAAAATCAAAACGCTAACAGATCTGGTGTCTGGTGAGGACTCTCATCCAGGTTTGCAGATGGCCACCTTCTCCCTGTATCCTCCACATGGTAGAGAGAGCAATCGTTCTCATTTCTCTTCTTATAAAGGCACTAATGCCTCACACTCACCACTAATTACTTTCAAAAGTCACACCTCCAAATACCATCACAATGGAGATTAGGATTCAACATACAAATTGGGGGTGAGGACACACATATTCAAGTCCATAGCAGACACCAAGCTTCCTACTTCATGGGACCAGCTACAAAATATGGAGTATGGAATAAGAGAGAGTGAGCTTTTTTTTTTTTTTGCTCCAAGCAACCCAGACTACATGTCAGATGTAAAACAAACTTCCAACAGACATTAAATATCACTTCTAAATTAAGAAGCACATCATTTACATAGACACTTGAAGGATTTTCTGCTCCACATTTACGGTTTGCCTTAACTGACATTTTAAAACAACTTTGATTGGGTCATTAACATCAGAGAATCCCAGCCTGCTACAGGCTTCCTAGGTTACCTTCATTCTGTTTCGGATTAGAAAAGAATCATACTAATGTATAGTTATTTACTATCAAGCCAAAAATAGCCAGGAATCAAGAGAGGTATAAAAAAAGTGTTGTAGTGCAATCTGAAAATTTTAAAAGTTCCCAGTTTCAGATCAGGACTGCATTTCCTATTGTTTGTTCCACAGCTGAAAGTCCTGCTATTATTTTTATAGAATCCTTTCATGAAACATGTCACAATTCCACCAGTCTACCCAGTTATATCCTTGGTTGAAGCCAATCACTCTTGTGCACTGCTTCCCTCAGTAACAGAAAACCTGACGTCCATGTGGTCACTTCTTCAGTAAGACGCCATGTCATTATTCTATCTCTCTACTGAAGCACTCTTGAGAAACAGATGCCACTCATGTTTGAATCTCTACCTGTCCCTCATGCCAGACTGAATTTCTCTGAACGCAGACAGGGCTATAAGTTACCTTTGTATCCACAAAAAGGTCGACTCAAAAAATTGTGAATAGGGCTGCAGGCATAGCTCAGCTATAAAGTGTTAGTCTAGTATGTGCAAGGCCCCGGGTTCAATCCCTGGCACTGCAAATAATGACAATGATGATGATGATGGTGGTGGTGGTGGTGGTGAATTGAATTATCCATGGGTTTCAACACTTCTTAATTTAAAGGTTTCATTTTGTTTAGTCCTAATGACTAGAAGGGACAAATTTTCTGATCAACAGTAGCTTTTATCTGATACTTGTCAGGGAATCTGGGTGTTTTCTAAACTATGCCTGAATTAAAGACAAGATATTGAAGTAAAACACTAGTGATTTGATTTGTTTTTTCTCCTTTAAATGCAGAAAGTACCCATTACCTGAAAATGTTCTTAAGGGGTTTCTGAATGAACTTTAACTATCATAGGTAGAGAATGGTAGATGTTAGAATAGCAAATCCAACCAAGCAGTATGTTTGCTCCCTTCGAGAACACTATTTGAGGCTGGGCATGGTGGCACATGCCTATAATACCAGCTATTGGAGGAGGCTGAGGCAGGAAGATCCAAGTTCAAGGCCAGTATTCAGCAACTTAGTGAGACCCTTAGCAACTTAGCAAGTTAGTTGTTAATGAACCTTTATTTATTTATATGTGATGCCAAGAATCAAACCCAGTGCCTCACACATGCTAGGCAGGCACTCTACCACTGAGCTACAACTCTAGCCCTAGCAAGAGCCTCTCTTAAAATTGTTTTACAAATTTTTAAAAAAGGACTGGGGGTGTATGTAGCTCAGTGGTCAAAGCACCCCTGTGTTCAATCCCCAGTACAAAAACAAAACAAAACAAAAACAGTTTGGCTTCTAAATTCTAAAGAAAAGAGAAGCAAGCCCTCTCTCAAAAACCAAAGGTAGTGTGATAGGACTAGGGAACCTGTGGTATGACTTGAAGCAAGATGACAGATTACCAAACGAAATAGCAGGCCTCTTACATGGCCCCACTATACAGGTTTCACCCAAAACACAGAGCTTATAAACGGTCCCATATCATACAGTTTAGATTAAATAAGTCAGTGTGCTATTCTCTTGCTAATCTGTCATTTGTTATAGGAGCCTCAATCACAAACCTAAGTATTTTTTCTCCCTTCCTCATTTCTGCTTATCTCCCCTCACTTTGTACAGCACCTATAGCTGCAGAACCTCAGTGCTGGAGGCAATGCTGGTGAGTGCCAATGTCTAGCACTGACCTTAACAGAGGCTAGATCTGCATGGAACTAGGACCTATTTAAAAAAAAAAAAACAGTGCAAAGTAAGAAATAAAGTAGCAAAAGTGATCATTAAGATTGGTGCTGGGGCTGGGGATGTGGCTCAAGCGGTAGCGCGCTCGCCTGCCATGCGTGAGGCCCGGGTTCGATCCTCAGCACCACATACAAAGATGTTATGTCTGCCAATAACTAAAAAATAAATATTAAAAATTCTCTCTCTCTCTCTCCTTAAAAAAAAAAAAAGATTGGTGCTAAGCCAGGCACAGTGGCACACGCCTGTCATCCCAGCAGCTCAGGAGGCTGAGGCAGGAGAATTGCAAGTTCAAAGCCAGCCTCAGCAAAAGTGAGGCACTAAACCACTCAGTGAAACCCTGTCTCTAAATAAAATACAAAATAGGGCTGGGGATGAGGCTCAGTGGTCAAGCACCCCTGAGTTCAATCCCCATATTCCCCCCCAAAAAAAGATTGGCACTAGATGGCTTATGAAGAAAAAAATTTTAAAATCTCTTCAGCTTCAATCCAAACTATACTTCAATCCAAATGAAGTATAGGCTGAGGCTGACAGCAAGTGGATGACAACACGGTCACTAAAACAGTATCACCATCCAACCAACTGCATCATCAGGGAAAGCCATCCCCACTAGGTCTCCTAGGTCTGGGTCCACCATCTTGAAACACTATGTGGCCAGGCACACATCTGGGTAAACTATTTACTCACTTTGCCCAAATAGCCTTCCTTGACTCTCCGGCTTGTCACAGGACCCCATTTTATTCTCTCTCTCACAAGCCCTTTTGTTCTTGTTCTTTGACACCCTCAGCTCCCTGAACATACAATTATAATTATGTACTTATTTCTCTATAGATTTAAAACCTGCCTGCCCCAAGAGACAGGCAAGTGCAAGAGGTAAGTGACTCCCTCTATATCCTGTACCTGACACCATGCCTGGCTCATGCTGGGGGCTTAAGACAAATTTGTTGAATGAATGATTCATAGTGACTTCCTAGGAGCTCTTGTCCCTCAGTTGCTCTGGTATTCTAAGCAGCCATGCCACGACTGTTCTGTGCTTCGCTAGAATCAAAGTTCAAGGAGAGTGTCCAAAAGAGAAAAACCTCATGTACCAACAACAAAGAGGCTAGCTTATTGTTTTGTAAGTGCTCTCTGTTCTGGTCCTATTTACATACACCATTGGTCCAAAGCAAAAGCACTTTGTTATAAGTGACTTTAGAAGTCCTAATCATTAAAATTGAAAACTTCCATTTAAGTCAGACTACCCCTTTGTGATATTAAAAGTATCCCCCTCTGTGTTTCTATCCCTCTCTCTCTGAGACCTATTCCAGCTTTTAACCTGGGCTTTTCATTCGGAACCCCTTATGATCTTTGAGCTGTAATTTTCACGAATGGGGCCCTGAAGCTCTTTTTTGTTTACCACAATTGTTCATTTCATTTCTGCATGTATTTGGTAGATGAATTTCCTGTAACGTCTTACAAAATAATGCTGTAACATCTTGTAGTATTAAAAAAAAATTGAAAGGCCAACAAAAAAACCTACCAAAAAAAGAAAATAATAGAGCAGTTAAAATATTTAAATTACTATTAGAAAGTTAAAATGTAAAAACAGGAAGTATACTAGATGAGAATGTTGTGTATCAGGGCCAGGACCGAAGGAAGTGAGAAATGTGCAGGACTGTTTTTATATTTTTATATTTTTCAATTATTTTAAAATTTGATATTTTGTTCACTGTGGATTTTTTTTCCTTCAGTGCCGAGTATCAAATCCAAGGCCTTGGACATGCTGGGCAAGCACTCTATAGCTAGCCCTAATTTTTTAAATTGATTTTGATTTTTAAAAAATATTGCATGAAAATATTAGTGATTGTTCCTCAAAAGTTAAACAGAAATACCATATAACACAGTGATTCCTGGTATAAACCCCCAAGAATTAAAAAACAACCAGGCACAGTGGCTCAGGCCTGTAATCCCAGTGGCTTGGGAGGCTAATGCAGGAAAATCTTGAGGTCAAAGCCAGCCTCAGCGACTTAGTGAGGCCCTAAGCAACTCAGTGAGACCCTGTCTCTAAATCTAAATAACATATAAAAAAAGGACTGGGGATGTGACTCAGAATGCCCCTTAGTTCAACCCCTGGTACAAAAAAAAAAAAAACAGGTGTTCCAAAATGTATATGCAAGTGAATGTTCATAGCAGCATTATTCACAATAGCCCAAAGCCAAATGTCCATCAACAAATGAATCAATAAATTGTGGTAGAAATATACAGTGGAATTTTATTCAGCCATAAAAAGAAATGAAGTTCTGATACATGCTACAACATGGACAAGCCTCACCAACATTACAATATATGAAAGAAATCAGTCACAAAAGGTCACACGCTATATGATTCCACATGTATGAAATATATGGATAGGAAATACAGGATAGGAAAATTTATACAAATCAAAGAGAGATTTGTGATTGCCAGGGGATACGAAGAGGGGGGATGAGGAGGAGCTGCTCATGGGTACAGGGATTTATTATGGATTATTGACAATGTTTGGAGCTAGATAAAGGTGGTGGTTGCACATCGGTGCATGCTACTGTATCATTCACTTTTAAATGGTTAATTCTATGTTATGTGAATTTTACCTCAATTTAAAAATTTGTATATATTACTGATCTTGATTCCTGAGTTTTTTGGATATTGTGTCTAAGGTGAGACCCTTATTTGCCACTCCAAGTCTTCAACCTGCTAAATTTCACTTTTAACTGGAAATAAGCAGGGTGAGAAATTGAAATAATCTTCATCCACACATGAACCTGAGGATGGGTTCCAGGTAACAAAACAAATCATTTTTTACTCAAAATTAATTATGGCATGTGCCCTGCCACATAACACCAGGAAGGCCCAATTACCTGGATCCCTGCTCACCACCTTGACATCATGTTGCACTGGACAAAACACAGACATACTTTCTCCCCCATTATTGTTGCTAGGGAAAGTTTAATTAACTATGGAAATTTGTGAATACCAAAGGCCACCTATGGAAGGAGAAGAAAACTACCCCCTTTGATTCTGGTTCATGGAAGTAAGCATTGCCAAATTCCCTTTGAGCCTTTATATCCCATATTTGGAGAACAAAGCGATTCTTTATGAGTGTGGTGATTTCTTCAGATAATTCCTTCATCTTCACTACAACTACTTCAGAGGCTTAAAAAAAAAAAACACAAGTATTAGCCACATCAAAATAAAATAATACATGTCCTTAAAATACCTCTAGATCGTCTTTACACCATTTTAACTTGCTCCTAAAAGCCAACACATTTGAAGCAAACCTAAATGGATACAGTTTAGCTTCCTCCCCCCAATGAACATCCATAGTCTGCCCCTCATACAAATATGAAGGGAGCTCACACTAGAACAATAAACTCATGACAAGTTTTCCAAAAGCTATTGTCCCTACTAAAGAGAAGCTTATCCAATTTGAGGCCAGCCATAACCCCTAGGGTACTCCCAAACCATATCCACCTCTGAATATAAATTTAATAATGCTATCCTGGCAGCTATCCTCTCTCATAATGCATAATAGAGCCACGGGGAAAATAAGCTGCCCTTGGACACCAAACCTATCTCTGGCACTTCCCTACAAAGAAATAAAATGCTATTTTATTTTATACAAATCCAAGAAAATATGCTTTGGGAGGAGTGGCCCTGACTAAGAGTCAGCAAAATGATTTTTGTAAATAAAGTTTTATTAGCACACAGCCATGTGCATTTATTTCTGTATTGCCTGTGGCTGGATTCCTACTACAATGGCAGAATTGAGTAGTTGTGACAGAGACTATAAGATCCACAAATCCTTTCTTGGAAAGCTGGGAATGGAGCCACCATTTGACCCAGCTATTCCCCTTCTCAGTCTATTCCCTAAAGACCTAAAAAGAGCATGCTACAGGGACACTGCTACATCAATGTTCATAGCAGCACAATTCACAATAGCAAGACTGTGGAACCAACCTAGATGCCCTTCAATAGATGAATGGATAAAAAAAATGTGGCATTTATACACAATGGAGTATTACTCTGCATTAAAAAATGACAAAATCATAGAATTTACAGGGAAATGGATGGCATTAGAGCAGATTATGCTAAGAGAAGCTAGCCAATCCCTAAAAAACAAATGCCAAATGTCTTCTTTGATATAAGGAGAGTAACTAAGAACAGAGTAGGGTCAAAGAGCATGAGAAGAAGATTAATATTAAACAGGGATGAGAGGTGGGAGGGAAAGGGAGAGAGAAGGGAAATTGCATGGAAATGGAAGGAGACCCTCAGAGTTATACAAAAGTACATACAAGAGGAAGTGAGGGGAAAGGGAAAAATAATACAAGGGGGACAAATGAATGTCAGTAGAGGGGGCAGAGAGAGAAGAGGGGAGGGGAGGGGAGGGGAGGGGAGGGGGGATAGTAGAGGATAGGAAAGGCAGCAGAACACAACAGACACTAGTATGGCAATATGTAAATCAATGGATGTGTAACTGATGTGATTCTGCAATCTGTATATGGGGTAAAAATGGGAGCTCATAACCCACTTGAATCAAAGTGTGAAATATGATATATCAAGAACTATGTAATGTTTTGAACAGCCAACAATAAAAAATTTAAAAAAAAAGAATAAAAAAAAAAAAAAAAAAGATCCACAAATCCTAAGAGACTTACTATCTGGACTGGCCTTACAGGAAAAAAAAAAAAAAAACTGTCAACTCTAAACCTAGACCATTTATAACTCTATGCCCTCCATCCTTCAGGTACCCATTTATAGGTGTACCTGTAAATTGTTGACCTCAGATGCATTCCATTTGGGTTCAGTCTATCCTACTAACTGTACCGGTCAAATAGGAGCATCCCAAGGGAGAAGGATCCTGAGACACAAGTCCTATAGCACTCCCATAAGCTTATAAGACAAAAACACTCAAAGATTCCATCTTACCCTTTTAGGCAGTCCCCGTTATTCTGAGACATGTATTAGCTTCAGCTGATTTCCAACTCAGCTATCCTTGGCTCTGAAAAGCTGTCATCGCTGGCATCACTGTATCTATCACTAGATCAAAAGAGGAACTAATTTAACAAGGCATAAAACACAAACAAACAAACAAACAAAAACCTAGGCAATGATTCAATTTTCCATTCCAAACATGTTCCATAATTAACCTCTACTCAGAGAAAATATTAGGAAATATTCTATTATCATGTTCTAGTCACTACAGAAAGAGGTCAGTCCAACCACAAGTAACAGCTGACTTCTTTGGCCAGAGAAATTGATGGCGTGCTTTCATTGAAAATTGGAAGTTACTTCTTCAGAAAATTTAGAAAAGCATTTCAATTTAAGTTGAAATCTATAATTTTCTGAAGACCACTGATCACTTGTATATTTCAACAAAAGCCTTGATTTCCCACCTGCCAACCTTACCTATTGTTTGCTGTCTACTGGAGGTGTTCTATTAGTAAATTGATTTAAATAAAAGCCTGAGTTGATGCACCCTTTTATTCTCTGTGAATCTACTCTTGTCCAACTAAGGGCTAAATAAAGCTCAGTCCATCTGAGTTTGAGCCACATTTAGACCTATTCCGACTGACCACAATTTTCTCAAGTGCACAAAATATTACATGGCTATTTAGAGCTCTTTCACTTTTTGCCCTTCTGATGACAACTGTTTCTTTAGGCAATGAAGGGAGTCCAGGACACACTACTCCAGAATACAGCACCTCAGCAGAGTGACAATATTAAGCCATAGGATGCTGAGAGACAGTATGTGCTAGAAGGTCTCCTGGACCTTCCCCTGCCCTCTGGCCCTGAAGCAGATAATAAGAACCTCAGTTGAGAGGTAGTCTCCCTAAACCCCAATGGAAAGGAGTATTCTTCTCTCAGAAAACACTGAGACACAGAGAAGAATAATCTGAATAAAATGACCTTGCTAAGTTTCCCCTGGTTCATTACCATGACACTATACTCACTGCTCTATTCTATTTCTCCATGACTCCCCACTCTTCATTACCTGCTATAGAAAACACTAGGGTTGCTGAGCACGGTGGTGCATGCCTGTAATCTCAGTGGCTGGGGAGGCTGAGGCAGGAGGATAGCAAGTTCAAAGCTAACCTCATCAACTTAGCAAGGCCCTAAGCAACTCAGCGAGACCCTGTCTCTAAATAAAATATAAAAAAGGGCTGGGGATGTGGCTCAATGGTCGAGTGCCCCTGGGTTCAATCCCCAGTACCAAAAGAAAAAAACACTAGTGTTTATCTGTTTGTTTGGGTCTTCATTTCCTTATAAAGACTCCATGTCACATAAAACACAAATAAACGTGTGTGCTTTTCTGTTGTTGATCTATCTTTTGTTATAGGGGCCTCAGCCAGAAACTAAGATGGTTAGAGGAAAAGATGGTTTTTCCTCCTCACTGGCCACGTGAAAGGATTAGAGAACAGTAAACACAGCTGTGTGTCCCTGATTCTGTTAGTCAGCTGCAGGTTGGCTTTTGCCTCTGTTTAAGAACTATGGCTCCTCCTTAGATACAGAATTCTGCTTGCCTCTGTGCTTGAGATAACAGCAGCTCCTCATTACATGGGAACCTGTCATCTATGGTCAGCACATTCCACAGGGAGCTTGAACTTGGTGGTCATTAGGACTAGACATGCATGTTGGCTCAAGACCCAGGGAACACCAGCAGTGCACCAGAGTGCTAATGCACTCTCTAAACTCACCTTGAAATCTTATCCACTTCAGATCATATTTTCACAATGATTTATATGTCAGCAGCATGAAAGTTTTCCATTCCAACAAACATTCTCATTAATCCAAGGTTTTGAGTCACATATAGCCTTCAGAATAGGACCGATTATTGACACCTGTCACCATGCTGGGTTCCCTTAGAAATACATCTTCACCGTCAGTTACCTCTGCAATTGAACTTTTGCTCTGAGCCATGGGCTCTGTTTGGGTTTCCTTTTGCTTGGTTTAAAATAAATCAGCACATCGATGAACTCCACTAGAGTTCTACTGATCTGTGGAGACACACTGCCAGGAAGCGTTCCATGCGTGACCCATCCCTAACCTTGGCCAAGCTTTTGCTGAGTAGTAACAATGTCTGAATTTCATAACAGGTGAAATCACCACCACCACCTGCCTTTTTCTTAAATGGAACAGTTGGAGAAACTCTGTGTTGACGGGCTAGAAAACAAAGAGTTTATTCTCTACCTATTGAGTGAAAATCAATAAATAGATAAACCAAATCATAAAAGACCATCTATCTTTTCTGGTTTTCATTCTCACTGTCCTCCCTGACTTTTGGACAAACAGCAGAGGTACTGGGGCACTACAGCAGGGAGAGGAGATAGAAGATTAAGAACAGGTATAAAAACCCAGAGTTGGTGGCACACACCTGTAATCCTAGCTACCCTGGAGGCTGAGGCAAAAGGATCTCAAATTCAAGGCCAGCCTGAGAAACTTAGTGAGACCTTATCTCAAAATAAAAAGTAAAAAGTGCTGAGGATGTGGAGCTCAGTGGTAAAGAGCCCCTGGGTTCAATCCCCAGTACCAAAAAGAAAAAGAAATTGTTGGCAGAAAAAACAAGATATGTTAAATAAGCATATAAAAATATATCCTTAAATTCAATAAAGTAGAAAATGCCACCTAGTTAGACTTTAGTTCAGGAAAAATCATTTCTGTCACACAGAAATAATCATTTAAAAGGAAAAAAATAAATTTATTAAAAAATAAATATTCTTTAAAAACTTGGCCAAAAATTGGATATAACCTCTCCCTACTCAAATGCTCAATCCTTGCTGGTTCCATGCTTCATTTTGTTGTCAGAGAATTAGCAAAGGAAGGGAATTCAGAAGTTGTACTCAACTCCCTATAGGAGAAGAAATGAAGGTCAAGGGTGTTCAAGTGACCTACCTAGCACACAACTTGTTTGAGATGGGGCTAGAATTCCCATCATACTAACCCAGGCCACAAATTCATCTCTAAGTTGGGCTGCAATGGGGCAGCCAAGCCCACCAGGGCATGTCACCTGACACTACAAGTGAGAAGGGGCCAAGGACCAAGGGACCTCCATTTCCTCAGGTATCACATGGTACACACACTTCCTTCCCTATTTCTAAGCCCTGAAAGGAGTAGGGTGGGCTCACATTTTTCCTCTCATATTCCCCCTCACACTATTAATAGTATTTATTTATTTACATAAATAAGTATTATGTATTAACCATGTATCTTTGGACAAGGTCACTTGACTCCTGAGACCCAAGAAAACGTGGCAATAATAAATTACAACTTCACCACAATGTTATGAGGGCCAAAACAGAATATACATAAACTTGCTCTGAAAGTTACATAAAAACATAAGTTGCTACTATTTATGAGGGTTACATATTCATACTGATATCACCTGCAAAACTCGTGAAATATAAAGAATCAGTTGAAAACTGTTAAGTGCATGTTTTTCAGAATTGTTTCTGGTACCAAGTGTAATTCCCTACCCACATTAGCCAGTGGACTTGTGTGGGTCTGTTTTGAATATACTGGGTCTTGATTCTATCCGAAGGGTGTCAGCCCTGAACTCTGCTAATACATCGAAATGGCCCAAACTGATATGACAAAATGAGGCTTAGCTTGAGTTTATGCATCTGCAATGCTAATGACTGGGTTCACCAATTTTCTTTTGTATAGGTTGAGAGATAAGCCATGACACTCAAGAACAGAACTACTGTTCTGTAGCTCAATGGCAGAGCATTTGCCTGGCATGCATGAGGCACACAGAACAAACTTAAAAGAAGTCATAAGCTAAATTTATCTGGGTGAATTTTCACTTAATTTAATATATATCAGCTCCATCTTAAAACTAAACCATCTTTTTGAGTAATCTCCATACACACAGAGAGAGAGAGAGCTTCTCAATGGGAAGAATTATCAGATATTAGATTTAAATTCTATGAAGTACCACAAAGTACAGACACATTCAGTGTGCCTTGTTACATTTGAGAAGGGGAAGGTTTTAAACCTGAACTGTTTAATACAGTAGCTACAAGCCACAGTGGCTATCTAAATTTAGATCAAATAATATTAAAAATTCCAATCCTCATTTGCCCTATTCAGTTGCTCGATAGCCAGGTGTGGCTAGTGATGGCAATATTTAATAATGCCAGTTATTAAGCATTTCAATCATTCCAGAAAGTTTTAATGGATAGTGCTGATTTACAAAGAAATGAATAATGAGTTTTTAAAAAACAAACTACAATCAACATGCAATGGTCCTCAGTGTTTTTAAAGGTCTGGATACCTATAGTTAATTAAAAATCACAGCAAATACCTCTCATGCATACATGTGCCCTCCCCAAATAGTAGAAACTCTTCTTTTAAGAAAGTATCTCACAGGACCATTTCTTCAAGACAAAATGAAAATCAGCAGCAGCGACTCATGGAAATCCCTATCCTCAGGACACTAGCCTGACTTAAAAAACTTGACCACAATGGTCTCCATGTGGTTGAGAGACAAAAGGCTTGTCATAGTCAAGCGTATCTGTCCTGGCTCCTAATAAATTCCCATTATAAGAAAACATATTCCAAGGCTCCAGAGAAAGGGTATAGTAATGCCTCATATAACCCACCTTTTATGCAACCTCAAGGCAACCATTAAATCACTTCTTCATTAACGGAAGGAGGTGGTTGGAATTTAAAATATTTTAATGGCATAGTTAGGATTCCCAGCATGCATGAGTTCCTACAATACTTTCTATCAGAATCCATTTCATGTGAAAAAGCATGTCTTAAAACACGTTGCCATGCACACAGTTTTCCCCAAAGCATTGTTACTGCTATACTTACTTCCTTCTCAAAGGGCCCCTGGAAGCCATAAAATATAAGAGCAATGGAATAAAAACTTAGTATGCTTTGAATGAGTTTTGCATTTCATAGTAAACAGTAGAATCGACCCAGGCAAGGCATTAAAAGCACAGAATTCTGTATTACTTTGAACTCCACTCTGGCTGACCCCACATCATCAACACTAGAGTTAATCAACATCAATAAAGAACGTCTTTTTAGCC